ACAATACTTAGTAAAATATATAAATATGATAAGTTACGAATTCAAAGAAATAATACCTGCATGGTTTCTTTTCTTGTAGTACCACTGTTGAATAGAGGCTCGAAAAAACTCCATTAACATAGTAATGGGTAATTTCCGGGAATGACGACTTAGAGCGTTGATTGATTCTGCACTATTAGACGTCATGAAACCATATCTTGCTCCAAGTTGATGTACTCTTGACCATCTTTCAAACCCGACATCTTCTAGTGTTTGAGCACACTGAGGCAAAACACGTCTTAAACAATTTATATGCTTATTGAAATCCACTTCCCGATAAGCTTTTACAGCCTTCCAGTATGTCCATTTGTGCTTTTTTATACCAGCAGACCTTGATTTTAGATTTCTATACAAATGAACACCACAAAGTCCATGAAAAGCATCTGGGAAACACCTTCTAACAGCGTTGTCAATTGAGTTTGCCCTATCGGATATGATTGTCAGATTGCTAATAGGACCTATGCAATCCCTAAGATGCCCCATAAACCATGTCCATGAATCAGAGGTTTCAGATTTGCCAACCCCGTAAGCTATTGGCAATATCCCATTGTTAGCATCCATGGCTACTGCTAATAAGTTTACTCCAAGGTATCGACCTTTCAAATGTGCTCCGTCAACTATAATAACTGGGCGCATGCAAGTAATAAACGAACGAATCTACAAAATAATATACACAAGAAATATAATCATTTAAATGTGAAATGCATGTAACTAACAAAAATGAGTCAACAAAATTATATTGATTTACTAACCGTAGCACCAATGGCGATAAACAGCAACTCAAAGCGTCCATCTCTATCTGTTTTGATATGAGTTACCGACCCAGGATTTTTCAGCTTTAAATTGTGACAATAAGCCGGCAGTTGGGCAAACGATGCTTCTGGCGACCCCCTCAACAATTCCAAGGCATAACATTTGGCTCTCCAAGCTTGAGAATATGATATACTAATCTTGAACCGAGCATTCATGTCAGTCATAATTTCATGTCCCCGATATACCCTGCCATTCAAAAACATTAACTCAGCCAGAAAACCACCCAACACCTTTTTGTTTGCCTGTCTATGGTGAGGAAAAACGAGGGTTCTTGAACATGTATGTTTATCAATAAAAGTCCTAACTTGAAACATTTTGCAATCTTTTATTCTCTTTGCAATCATACGCCACGTACAGTTTTTGTCAATCATACACCTTGTTTCGAAACGATCTTTGCTTGATTTGTTAACTTTTAGTTGATAGCCATCTTCCACACATTTTGTATACAAAGCTATCTTCAAGTCTTCCTTTGTATCAAAACAATCATCTTTCTTGACACGAATAACTTTTGTGTAACAATCAACTGCTTTCTTTGCCAACTCTTCTTCCGGTAACTGAAGTAATTCTGGCATATTCCAGTTATACTCCCGTGGCATTTTCTTTTCTTCGGGGACTTTTTCTTCTTCTTTTTCTTCTTCAGGATTATATGAATTACAGAATGGATGTTCAACATGTTCATTCACAGTCGTAACTTCCTCCTCATTATCATCAACAACATCTTCCTCGGCAACGGGTGTTTCATCATCAAAATTCGGGTATTGACCAATATTAAAATCATTACACACATGGTCTGTTTCTTCTTCTGAAACATCATCAAAATCCGTGTATTGACCAATATCAAAGTCCGGATATTGACCAAGACCAAATTTCGAATACTGACTAGTACTCACAATTTTTTCTGTTGGCTCATCATCGTCTAACTGGTCAATACGAAAACCGGAATTTGGTGCTGAAAGTTGATTGGCATTTGGATTAGAGAAAGGTTGTGGGTTTTGAGAAAAACTTAGTTGATTACTACCCGCTACTGACCCAACAATACTACTTCTAGGTTCAACAACATACAATGTAACATCATCTTGTGAAACACTAATGTAAGCAATGAATCGTTCAACATCTTCATTGTCGGTTAACAAATAAACTTTACCATTCTCTGATAAGATAGCCTAAATCCACTTAGGGGCTCTAAATTCAATTTATTTGAAACACGTAGCATTAGAGTTTCATAAGTTAACTTTTGTAAAGACAATTTTAGTTGAAGATTCATGGGTAAAGGCATATATTGTAAAACACCATGAACATTATCCCATGACCCTCCAAAACACAAATCTATCCAAACATGATCAGATGATTTCATGGTTGTAAATTAATTTACTAAACAGACGAGCTGCGAAACTAAAACCTGTTGCCGGATTGGGAAGGATGTCGTTGGATATAGGAACGGATGTCGCCGGAGAGAGTGATAGATGGAGATGGAATGAGTTGCGATTTAGGGATTTAGTTTATGATTTCAGTGTTATATACCCAAAATTTCAGTGTTGTGATTTACAGATTCTCGTTGCGATTTACGGATTATCGTTGCGATTTACAGATTCTCGTTGCGATTTACGGATTATCGTTGCGATTTACGGATACGCGTTGCGATTTACGGATTATCGTTGCGATTTACGGATACGCGTTGCGATTTACGGATACGCATTGCGATTTACGGATACGCGTTGCGATTTACGGATACACGTTGCGATTTACGGATACGCGTTGCGATTTTATGTATTATCGTTGCGATTTACGGATACGCGTTGCGATATACGGATACGCATTGCGATTTACCCATACGCGTTGCGATTTACGGATACACGTTGCGATTTACGGATACGCGTTGCGATTTATGTGTTCGCGTTGCGATTTTCATATTCGCGTTGCGATTATTGAAAATCGCAATGCGAATTTGTACTATCGCATCGCGATTTTCAAGAATCGCGTTGCGATTTTGGAAACTGATTTGCGATTCTGGGGATCGCGTTGCGATTTTTATTTCGCGTTGCGATTTTGTTGGTCATTTTGGCAAATCCAAAAAAAGTTGGTTAAAATCGTATATTATAACTTTTTTTTGGTCACTGAGGCGATTTTCTCTATTTAAAAATATTTTTATTTTTTGCTTTAGAATATTTTTCACCCATTAAATTTAAAATTTATATAAAAAAAAGCTGGGAAAGAGAAAAAGTAAATAAATCAGGAACTGAAGGGCAAAACGGTAAAGCCAAAGATGAGTTGCTTTAATAACGGCATTAAAGAAAAGCTCCATAAAAAGGTGCCACTCTGATTGACAGTCTCCCTACTCCCCTATTCCTTTAGCAACCTAAATTGCAAAGAGGAAGAATAAATGAATTCTTATAAATAATGATAAATAAATTATTATAAAATATTTACTATAATTAATAGTAACTATAGAAAGATTAAATATATTACGTAAAATTCTAAGCATTATTGAATTTTTATTTTCATTTTAATTATTATTAGACCATTAAATCAGTAATGATGTGAATGGTTTGGTTTAAACTCTTTCATGTACTTTTGTTGATTTTTTTTTGTTAAAATAATGTTATTTTAGATACCAAAATAACATAATTAAAATGATGTTATTTTGATGAGACATTTACAAAATAATAGATTTTAAATTAAAAAAATGAATTTGTCATTTTTTTTATTTTTATTAATAAATTAAATTAAACAATCTTCTTAAAATAAAAAGTGTGTAATTATTTTTCTAAAGAGTCACATATATCCGTCTCTACATCACATTGACATAACTCATCATGTTTTTAGCGAATTAAAGATCTAAAAATATAACTAAAATTAAAATAAAAACAAAACGTAAAGAATTAAAACAACTAAAAATGAATGGTAAAATTTACATTTTATCACAAATTATATTTTTCTTTCAATTTATGTTCTTAACAGATAAATCCAATCACAATTTTAAAAAATAAAATCAAAAAATATTTAAATAGTAAATCATAACCATGTAAAAGCTGGCTAAATACACAGCTTATATAAGCATAAATGCATATGTATATTACCGCTAACCGAGTAACCACAGTATAACAGAGAGTTTCATCGAGATTTGCGTGCAAAAAGAGAGAAAGATCTCTAGATATATTCAGCGGATCAGGCTGATTTAATACCAGCGATTTCGGCCCCGATTAAAAAATGAAGAAAAATTCTGATTTTTAAAAGCAAAGGCGGCGAGAATTTATTGATATGATGTTGATGATATAGAACAACCCCGTCATTCATACACATTGCCCTGTTTAATTCCTCGATTCAATTTTATATTTTATTTAGTTCGTAGACATATTAAATGAATTTAATTTTAGTAAAGTAAAATGATAAAATTATCATTATTGTTTCTTTTACTTAATTTTAGTTTATTTTATAATTTACATGTAACAATATATTATACAAATTTTAAAAGTATTATATTTTCATTTTATTGATTGATTATTTATTTTAATAAATTATAAAAATTATACTAAAAAATATCATAAGTTAAAATTATCTCAATTAGGGATGATCGTAGGTCGGGTTAAGTCAGATTTTTGGTCCACTCGACCCGACCAGAGAACAAGAAATCCTCTACTCAACCCGACAAAATAAAGTTTCACTCGACCCGACCCAACCCGAATATATAAATTAGAAACCTAACCCGAATATCACACTTAAAAAACATGACCCAAATATCAAACTTAAAAAAACTCGACCTGAATCCGAATAACACACTTAAAAAATCTGACCTAATATCACACTTAAAAAAACTTGACCCGACCCCGAATATCAAACTTAAAAAAACCCGACCCGACCCTAAATTAAAAAAAACGACCCGATCCCGAATGTCACAATTAAAAAAACTCAACCCGATCTGAATACCAAAAAATTAATAAGATTAATATGATCAAATTTTACATTCACTCCTATAAAAATTTTTAATTTCATCGTGTTATGAATAAATTTTTTTTTCATCCTGAAATTATATTCTAATTTCTGCTTTAAAAATTTGAACTAAACTTAAAAAGGTAATGAAATTAGATTCCAATTCCCCTAATTCAAATAGAATGAATCAAACGCCACGTTACCTTTTTAACTCGTCTCTTTGACTCACTCATCTTCCTTTGTTTACCTGTTAGCTTTGCTTGCTTTGTTCTCCTTCTCTCATTTATAACTCCATTAGATTTTCTCTCTCTTACGCCACAACTTTGTTTTGCTTCTTCTTTTCCTTCTGGATTATCTTTTTTTCTTTCTTTCTTTCTGGGTTTTCGTTTGGTTAGAGAATTTTGTTTGAGGGTCATCAATTTTAGCGTAGGGTGGGTGAACAGGGAAATGGGTTGAGAGCAGCGTACGTGTTCGAAGAAAGGTCGAAAAGGATAAGGTAGCTGAGGGCTGTTGGTGTTCCTCGTCTTGGTCAAATGTTTTATTAATGCTTTCTCCTTGGCTTCTTACCGTCTAGTTTGCATGTTTTGCTTTCTTAGAATTTCAGTATATTGAACAAGATAGCGATGTATATTTCCTTTTTTGAAGTCTAAAGATCTCTCTTTGAACCTCGGTTTCTGTCTGGTTTGGTTTTTACTTTTACTCAGCTGAGAGAGAAACAAAGAAAGAGAGAGAGAGAGAGAAAAAAAAAACCCTTCGTCGTTGGTATCATTTATTGGCACCTCACAACCACAGACAACTTGGGCAAAACTTATTGAATTTGTTTGAAGAGTGTTCACCTGTTGTTTCTTATCTTCTGTGAGGTTTATTTACGATAAAAGAAAGAACAAGATGAAGTTTATGAAGCTTGGCTCGAAGCCTGACACCTTCCAAGCTGAGGGCAAATGCGTTCGGTAAGATACTGTTTCACTACTTACATTCTTCTCTTCTCAAGAAAACCAATACATAACTTCGTTCATCATTGATGCTTTTAAGCCGTTCTTAACATTCTGCTAACTTGGATTGATTTTGTTTTGCTTCTCGTTTTGTTTCCAGTTGTGTCGTCTTATATTTTTCATATTAGTCCGTACGGTTTATGAGCTGCTAGTTCATAAGCTCTAGTCTCTATCTTTCTTCTTCTTCTTCTTCTTCTTCTTCTTCTTCTTCTTCTTTTTCACATATTAAATTTTGTTTTACTTGTGCTCTGTGTGCTGTTTTCTTTTTTCTTTTTTTGTAAATTATGGTTTTTCTTTAAAGTAACTTAAAAAAAAGAACTTTTTGCGGTTAATCATTCCATTGGGAGAAATTCTCAACTTTATTTATGTATTTTTTTCTGCACTGGCTTGGTGACAGATTAACCATATGGGTGGTTTCATTACAATTATTACGCTTTTATTGTTTTTTTTTTTTGTGTGGGGGGGGGGGGGGGGGGAAGGGAAGTGGACTTATAAGTGAAAGAAGAAATGAGTTAGTGGTCAACTGTGGGAAAGGCGTATTGGGGTTGCAGGCCTTTTAATCATCGTGTTGTAAGAATCTCTTTCTGTAAACAATAGGGCATGTTTTACATAACATTCGGCCATTTCCCAGGTCTTCTAACAAGGAACAAGCTACCATAATATGTCCAAGAAAACCTGAATCCTTAATAATAATATGCTAATACGGCAGCTAAATTTTGGAACTTTGAAGCCGTTACATAGGATCCTCGTTCCTTTTTTTTAAAAGCTTATCACTTGCATCTTGCTATTATCTATATAATATGCTCAGGAATGCAATTTTGTTTGTATTTTTTTGTTTTTTCATGTATGTAACTTTTAACTTTCTTCTTCATGGGCTTAAAAAGAGAATGTCTGTTGATGCAGGTACGTCACATCTGATTTAGCAACAGATGTTACTATTAATGTTGCTGATGTGAAATTTCACCTTCACAAGGTATGCTCTATCACTGCTAAGTTTTTCATGCTTCTGACAAAATGATATATATATATATATATCTTCAAACAACTATTCAACTGGCCTTTATTTCTTCTTAGCAACATTTCTGTGGGTGTAAGTTTGCAAAATTTTATAAGTTTAGCATAATTACCAATGTAGTTGGATTGCAGATCAAGCTCTAGATTGTGGAGATAAGATGTTTTTTAATTGTTAATTTTGGATCTGACTTATGATTGGGCTTTTGCAGTTCCCGCTAATGTCTAAGAGCAATCGGTTGCAAAAGCTGGTGATGGAAGCTAGCGAAAAGAACACTCATGAAATTGATATGGTTGATTTTCCTGGTGGACCAAAAGCATTTGAAATTTGTGCTAAATTTTGCTATGGTCTGACTGTTACTTTAAATGCTTACAATGTGGTTGCTGCTCGCTGTGCTGCTGAATACTTAGAGATGACCGAGGATGTTGATCGAGGCAACCTTATTTTCAAAATCGAAGTATTTCTTAACTCTAGTATATTACGTAGCTGGAAAGATTCCATCATTGTTCTACAAACCACAAAATCTCTACTGCCGTGGTCCGAGAATCTAAAGATTGTTGGAAGATGCATTGATTCCATAGCATCGAAAACCTCTGTGGATCCCGCAGGCGTCTCGTGGTCCTACACGTATAACAGGAAGTTATCAGCCCTTGAAAAAGTAGCTGAGGGTGGTATGAAATATCGAGAAAAGATTGAATCTGTCCCAAAGGATTGGTGGGTTGAAGATATATGCGAGCTAGATATTATTCTCTACAAAAGAGTCATGGCTGCTGTGAAATCTAAGGGAAGAATGGATGGTGCGATAATTGGCGAGGCACTCAAAACATATACCGTCAGATGGTTGCCAGATTCCGTTGATTCCTTGGTTTCTGATGTACATTCCTGGAGAAACAAATTGCTGATGGAAACTATTGTATGCTTATTACCTTTAGATGAGCACGTAGGTTGTTCGTGTAGTTTCTTGCTGAAGCTGTTGAAAGTTGCCATATTGGTTGGGGTGGATGATTCGGCCAAGGAAGTTTTAGTGCAGAGGGTAAGTTTAAAGCTGCACGAAGTGTCTCTCAAGGATTTATTAATCCCTGCGCGGCCTCCCCAAACTACCTTATACGATGTTGAGATGGTGCATTCTATTGTGAAGCAGTATATGAAGCATGAAAAGTTCAGTCGTGATTCAGATCTTGGAAAGAGCGATGTTGGATGTACTGATTTTATTCTGGGGCATGGAACTTTGTTGAGTGTTGGTAAAATGATTGATGGGTATCTCGAAGAAATTGCTCACGACCCGAATCTTTCGCTTGCCAGTTTTGTTGACTTGTCTCAGTCAATCCCTGAGTTTGCTAGACCGGTTCATGATGGACTGTATAAAGCCATTGACATGTACCTCAAGGTAGACTTTTAAATTATGGATGCCAATTTCTTTGATCTTCTCAAATTCTAGAATTATATATTATCCCTTCTCATAAAATACGCATTCCTAAATCAATTTTCTTGCTGCCTGAGATGACCCGTTGGGATGTTGAAGTATGGCATCAAAATTTTACAAATGTGGTTTGGTTTCTTGTAACACTTGTTATCATGTCTGCAGGAGCATACTGACTTGACGAAGGCCGAAAGAAAGGGACTGTGTGGTCTGATGGATGTCAAGAAGTTGACAACGGATGCATCGATGCATGCTGCACAGAACAATAGACTTCCACTTCGGGTGGTAGTTCAAGTTCTCTACTTCGAGCAGGTCAGAGCTGCAGCCGGAGTTAAGTCACTTAACAACAATCCCCGTGACACTTCCCAATCCACTTCGAACACCGACGAAGAATGGGAGAAAACTGCAGCTGAAGATTGCAGCTCCATCAAGAAACAGATGAATCAGATCAAGATAAAAGAGGAGGGCAGTAAACTGGTCAAGAAGAACAGCCAAAACAACAAAAGTGGGATGCTGCTGCTGCCATCTCGATCGAGAAGAATATTCGACAAGTTGTGGGTTATGGGAAAAGGGCACGGCGAGAACAAAAGCTCCGAGACCTCTGGAAGTTTGCAAAGCCCGGCTTCGATGATTCCAGGGGATACCAAGTCATCTGCAAAACACAGGAGGCATTCTATTTCCTAGAGAAGGGTATGCCGATGTTTATAAAGTAAGATTTAGAAGCTGCTCCGAGTAAAGAAGTTTTAGGTTATGATGGAGGGTTGAAGTATTCTAAAGAAGTTTCAGTTTTTGGGTCATTCTCTGACGAACATCTTTTATGTGATTGTATGAACGTCCTACTACATTTTCTTGAAACTTTCTAGCCTTTTCTAGCTGTGATACCTTTCAGTGACTAAATTATATCAAACATAACAAATGCTTTTGAAAGATTAAACACAAAAACAAGCAGCCCATTTTTTAACACCAACCATTACACCTTATTCACAATGGGGAAGCATAATAATACCAGAAGTGCCCTTTTCTTCTTCTTCTTCTTCTTCTCATGTCAGGCGTTGAGCATGTCGAACGTACTGGAAACTAAGTAATGATAGCTTCTTTTTTAACATGCTCCAACATGAGATGTGCAGTGTCTTTCCACCAAGAAATCTCTCTTTCCTTTCCACGGAGCTCTTTCGTTGCAATTTCCAAAGCCAGCTTGCAGCTCTGTTATCTGTTGTTCCTGTCTTGTTTCCAGCAATTCATGCAACTTTCTCTCCAGTTCATATGGTGGAACCCCACAATGCCAATCTGGACGGGCTTTTCCATTTTTTCTCTGTACCTCCTCGATGGTTTTCTCGGGAGGATTTGTGGGGAATTTGCCTGAATCTAAAAGGAGTTGTAAACGTTTCAACTCAACTTCAAGTTCTGCTTCGAGCCTGTCCATTCCCTCTACACGATCTTCTTTTGGAGCATCATCACATTTTTTATCAAACAGTGTTTCGTTTGAAAGTCCATCCCCTTCATTTGATTCAAGATTCTTAGGAACCAGTGAATCTTTATTCAGCAGTCCCTCTTTAACAGTCTGAAGAAGAGACTCCATCTGGATCCTCAATTCCGTAATCTTTTGAAGTTCATCTTTACTTTCTGCAATTAGATGGAGCAAGCAGCACCTTATTCCCACATTAAATTTAGATTCCCGCCCAAATATTTCTGCTTTTTCAAAAAAAAATAAAAATAGAAAGGAAGATTTCAAAAGTCAAGAACGTTATTCTTAATCCTTACCCGGTTATAAATCAGAACCGTCAGTCACGTGATCAGGCGGCGCAACATCATGATCTTCTTTCTTTCCGTCATCATGAACCTTATTCGTCAGCCTCCCTGCGTAAAAGCAAAAGAACAAACGAGCGGCGAAACGGCGGGGCTTGGAGCAGTTGGGTGGCCCTCTGCAACCGTCCGTGTGGAGAAGACGGTCTTGAAGTAGAAGAACGTCAGCGAAGCGTAAAGGAGGTGAAGGTTTGGATTTAGAGAAGGGGGAGAGAAGCAGGAGCTTAAACTTCAAAACTATTCGCATCGGCATGGATATGGAGATTGTCTAGCGGAAGATAAATGAGAGTGACAGAGAATATGAAATGAGATGAAGCAAGGCAGAGTACCGTTTTCAATTGTAAACAGATTCGGATGGAAAGGTATTATTTATGGGATAAACTATGTATTTAATCATCTAATTATTACTTTGATTCTATTTTAGTCACTCAATCCTTTTATAAAATATAAAAAACGTTGGCATAAAATTAGCAAATCCAAAGATAAAAAGTAGGGATGGAGTGAAATGTGGTTTAATCTGCTTTTGTTTTGCCGATTACTAATGCATCATCTCTGTTTTAACAGGGAATAATCACAGTTATTTAATATAATAGCAATGTCCACTATGCCTAAAATATTTTCTTACAATTCATGACTTTTTTATATTTGAATAAGTATTAATTTAAAAATAAATAAAGTAAACTAGATGATCGGTCACTTTCGTTTAAGTTTTATATATTTTTTATTGAATTAAAAAAATATTTGATCACGTTCGTTTTTTATTTAATTAAGATATGATTATTGAAATTTTGACTGTCTTACCGAGAAATAGTGAGGAAAATAGATACAATTGAGCACATCTTGATTAAGTAAAAATAAAAATAATCAAATATTATACTTTTTTTAATTTAGTAAGAAAAATGTACAAAGCTAAAACGAAATTGATCAATAATGTAATTTACCCAAATAAATATAAAAATTTCACGTGTATTATAATCCATGCATAAATTTTGATTTTTTTACTTAAATTATTGTCATGAATTCTAGTGCTTTTGTTTTATTTCTCTTTCTCCGTCTTTTATGATGATATCTTGCGTCGGGTATTAAATACAAGAGTTAAGATCCATTTATATTATATAAAACTAATAAGTTTTATCAATTTATAGTTATTAAATTTAAATAAATAAATGAGTTGGATTTAATTAAAATTTGTAAATCGCGTTGTGGATTTTTTCTCAAAAGCTTAAATAGTTTAATTAAGACATTTATGTTTATTTTAGATACATAGTTTATGGAACATATATATCGTAGCTAAGCAGCATGCTGCCATTCAGATTTGCATTAAAGCAGATACAAACTGTTTGATATTTGCTCAAATAACTATTTGTTCATGGGGGTGATGGATTAGACTTTAGAGGGTTCAGTTTTGATAGAGCGATCAACTGTTGCAGCTAAAGCTAGAGTGAAGTTGGGATCTTTTATTAAGGATGCAACATAATCTTCAATGCTCTTGTTGTTGTCGTTGCTGATGCTGTACTCATGCAAAACACTCGTAGGGTTTCTTCTGTTTTGTAAGACGTCGGAGCCGGAAAGAGTGAGGTCAAGGGTGATGGTCGGTCGAAAAGGATTACCCAGAACTGGAAAAGGAATGCTCGTCGCCGGGGAGAATATAGGAGAATTGCATGAAGATGACAATGATTCTCCGGCAGCCGGAGAATCAACATCGTGGTTGTGTTGTCCTTCGTAAGTTGCCACAACATAGGATTTGTCCTCCATGCATCGCTGAACCTACACGTTTTCAATCTGAAACAATGCGATAAATCTGAAACAAAGGAGAACTCCATAAAGAATATATTGCTATATATATATATATACACACATTCTTTTTGACAGGGCATCCCGGAGCCATAAAGCACTTGAAATAAGCCCGAGGGGATGGATTATCTTTAGTAACTTTCTGCCCTTATTTTCTCCGTTGAAACCCATCTTGCACTACCTATATACAGAAAACCGCAGTAACATAAAAACATGCTGAAATGCAAAGAAACGTGGCTAGCTAGGGTTAGTGAGATCTTACAAGGCTTTGATCCCTAGGTCAGTTTTCACGAAAAACTGTGACGTTCTGGATGCAACTGGAACATCAGGTCTTAGTCTCTTGTTTGATTCCTGGAGGAGATAAGCTTGATAAAGAATATACACAGTAAAGAATTGCATAGATTCATATTAGCTAGTACACTGCTTTTATAACAATGGTTTAGCTAACCATTAACCACCTAACAAACTAACTGACTTAGCTAATCAACCTAACAGACTAACCACCTTTACATGCATCAGTCTAACATTCCCCCTGCTCTTCCTTTTCTCCTTTTGACAGCAATCTAACATTCCCTCTATTTTTCCTTCTTTATGAAAAGATGAACAATTGAATCGAAAGTACGGATGCTTCCTTCCGTTCACTTGAATCGAAAGTGTCGATACTCCCTTTCGTTCTTCTTGAATCGAAAGTGTCGATGCTTCCTTCCGTTCACTTTGAATCGAAAGTGCTAATGCTTCCTTTCGTTCTTCTTATTCACCTTCATTTCTTCATTTTTCACCCTCTTTTACAAGGTTCCTTGACATACTTTTTTTCCTAATCAAGAATTAAAGTTGTCCACCTAGAATTCTTTGTAGAATCCATACAAACTCCTGTTTGAGCTAACAAAGCCCATGTTTCATAATAGTAATAGCTAGATATCACGAAAAAAAAAACACGCCTAGTAACATCTAAATTGCAACGTTCTTGATATGAGATAATCGAGCTTTGCCATCTTCCCATCTCAGATGGGCACCAATCTACTGCAGTAAGTTCACCATGGTGATTCTTCAAGATGATAGGCTCCGCTTAAGGCTTGTTCACCTTCCAAATATGAGCATTTCCTTTGTTGGAACCACTTAGTATGTAGTCTGCGTCTGAACTGATTGCTGACTTCACATAAAAAAAACTCTATTTGGCATCCAGAGAAAGTTTGCACCGGGCCCTTATCAAGCTGAACTATTTTATACAAGTATGTCTTGTTGTCCATGCATGATGCTATTAGAAACACTCCTTTTAAGTCCTGGGACAAGCTAGATATACCCTTTTTAGATGCAGTATCTGGTTGGGGACATGCCTGAGTGACATGGGATTTCAGTTTCCTTGTATCCCAGAACTTCACAACGCTGTCTGCAACTCTAGACATAGCAATGGAAATGTCATCTTTGAGATAAAGAACTGAAGTAATGGTTGCAACAGCAGGCTTCCCACGTCTACCCCGCCTTGCTTGAGATGAAGGATGAGCTCCTTTGACCAAAATAGTTGGTGCAAGGCAAACTTCAGCACTTCTACTTCGGGAGTTGATCTTGCATCTTAGATCCCAAACGACAAAGGACCCATCTCTCGAACCGGAAACAACTAGATCAGAATTAGTAGAATGAGAACTCAAACATTTTACACTTCCTGTGTGCAACATTAAGACTCCAGTGCATTTCTTTTCCTGAGCATCCCATACCTTTATAGTTTGATCCCCTGAAGCTGTTAAAATGTAACTATCATCCTTCATCCAGCATACATCAAATATGGCATTTTCATGAGCAACCCATTCACTGATTCTTGCTTTTTCAGTATTTCCCTGGTGTGATGCAGTGGTATCTTCCACTATATGAATCCCCTTCGTTTGTCTGACAGCATGAAACAGTTTAGTCATCGTACGCCGACGGCCTTCCATTTTAAGCGGCGGTGGAAACGGAAGCCGGCGGCAACGGAGGAGGAGGACGACGAACTCCATGCAGCGACTGTGAATCAGCAGCAGCCATGAACACCGAAACTTCTTGCAACAGAAACAATTTCTCCAAGACTTATGGCGATTGATACCATGTTGAGAAGTGTGTATAACAAAGAATATACACAGTAAAGAATTGCATAGATTCATATTAGCTAGTACACTGCTTTTATAACAATGGTTTAGCTAACCATTAACCACCTAACAAACTAACTGACTTAGCTAATCAACCTAACAGACTAACCACCTTTACATGCATCAGTCTAACATTCCCCCTGCTCTTCCTTTTCTCCTTTTGACAGCAATCTAACATTCCCTCTATTTTTCCTTCTTTATGAAAAGATGAACAATTGAATCGAAAGTACGGATGCTTCCTTCCGTTCACTTGAATCGAAAGTGTCGATACTTCCTTTCGTTCTTCTTGAATCGAAAGTGTCGATGCTTCCTTCCGTTCACTTTGAATCGAAAGTGCTAATGCTTCCTTTCGTTCTTCTTATTCACCTTCATTTCTTCATTTTTCACCCTCTTTTACAAGGTTCCTTGACATACTTTTTTTCCTAATCAAGAATTAAAGTTGTCCACCTAGAATTCTTTGTAGAATCCATACAAACTCCTGTTTGAGCTAACAAAGCCCATGTTTCATAATAGTAATAGCTAGATATCACGAAAAAAAAAACACGCCTAGTAACATCTAAATTGCAACGTTCTTGATATGAGATAATCGAGCTTTGCCATCTTCCCATCTCAGATGGGCACCAATCTACTGCAGTAAGTTCACCATGGTGATTCTTCAAGATGATAGGCTCCGCTTAAGGCTTGTTCACCTTCCAAATATGAGCATTTCCTTTGTTGGAACCACTTAGTATGTAGTCTGCGTCTGAACTGATTGCTGACTTCACATAAAAAAAACTCTATTTGGCATCCAGAGAAAGTTTGCACCGGGCCCTTATCAAGCTGAACTATTTTATACAAGTATGTCTTGTTGTCCATGCATGATGCTATTAGAAACACTCCTTTTAAGTCCTGGGACAAGCTAGATATACCCTTTTTAGATGCAGTATCTGGTTGGGGACATGCCTGAGTGACATGGGATTTCAGTTTCCTTGTATCCCAGAACTTCACAACGCTGTCTGCAACTCTAGACATAGCAATGGAAATGTCATCTTTGAGATAAAGAACTGAAGTAATGGTTGCAACAGCAGGCTTCCCACGTCTACCCCGCCTTGCTTGAGATGAAGGATGAGCTCCTTTGACCAAAATAGTTGGTGCAAGGCAAACTTCAGCACTTCTACTTCGGGAGTTGATCTTGCATCTTAGATCCCAAACGACAAAGGACCCATCTCTCGAACCGGAAACAACTAGATCAGAATTAGTAGAATGAGAACTCAAACATTTTACACTTCCTGTGTGCAACATTAAGACTCCAGTGCATTTCTTTTCCTGAGCATCCCATACCTTTATAGTTTGATCCCCTGAAGCTGTTAAAATGTAACTATCATCCTTCATCCAGCATACATCAAATATGGCATTTTCATGAGCAACCCATTCACTGATTCTTGCTTTTTCAGTATTTCCCTGGTGTGATGCAGTGGTATCTTCCACTATATGAATCCCCTTCGTTTGTCTGACAGCATGAAACAGTTTAGTCATCGTACGCCGACGGCCTTCCATTTTAAGCGGCGGTGGAAACGGAAGCCGGCGGCAACGGAGGAGGAGGACGACGAACTCCATGCAGCGACTGTGAATCAGCAGCAGTCATGAACACCGAAACTTCTTGCAACAGAAACAATTTCTCCAAGACTTATGGCGATTGATACCATGTTGAGAAGTGTGTATAACAAAGAATATACACAGTAAAGAATTGCATAGATTCATATTAGCTAGTACACTGCTTTTATAACAATGGTTTAGCTAACCATTAACCACCTAACAAACTAGCTGACTTAGCTAATCAACCTGACAGACTAACCACCTTTACATTCATTAGTCTAACATTCCCCCTGCTCTTCTTTTTCTCCTTTTGATAGCAATCTAACACGAACATTAACCCTATAGCTTCATTCTCTCTCTGCCAACATTCCAACTCCACTTGCAGAGCTTCCACCTGACAAATTTTTCTCATTAAATCTCTCTCTTTCTCGAAAAACTAAAACCAATGATATAATCAATATATATATATATATATACACCTTTTGTTTATCATGGTTTGGAGAATCCATGGCGTATGTGCTGAAAACCAGACGATACCTAGAAGAAGAGTAGAGATGACGAAACTGGAAGTTATTGAAATCGATGGCACGAGTTTTGACAGAAAGATGAATGGGGGAGTTTATATATTATATCAAAATCGAGATTCACGAGCTGTGGAAATTGATGGTAATATGTGTGACATCTTTCGGATGAAGTAAGCACTTTTACACCCAAGTTTTGCTATATATCGTCACGTTCCTACTACAATGACAATGTAAACGGGTTCCGGTGAAGGTAACATCATCTAGAAGAGGGTGAATGAACCCGACAATTTACTATCATTAATTTGTGTTAAAAAAATTCCGACATCAAAAGACTGTCAAAGCGTGTAGCATGATTGAGTACTACAACTTTTGGTAATAATAATTTATGAGTACATTCCCATTGGCTGAAGATTACTGTTCCTTTTGTTTCTTGTTTAAGTTTTTTGTGTGATCACATTCTCGTAGAGGTGTTCATAATTCGATTAAAATCAAACTATTTGATCGAATTAAAATTTTGATCGTTTAACGATTGATGATATTTTTAAAACTTCGGTTTGAGTTAATTGAGTTTGAAATAAATTAAAGAATCGAAATTATTAAATATTTATTATATTATATATATTATTTAGCTTTAGGAATGTTTAAACTTCAGTTTTAACCGAATTGATTGAATAAACCAAAAATATTAAATATTTAATACATAATATATAATATTTATAAATTTTGGTTAATTCAATTAACCGATCAATTAATCAAACTTAGTTCGGTTCGGTTAAAGTTCTTTGAAAAAACATTGGTTTGATTAACGGTTAAAAGAAAAAAGTCGGTTAATGAAGTTTGGGAAATTCAGTTCGGTCGGTTAACCGAATTACCCGTTTAAACACCCCTAATTATGGGTATGGATGGGAATAGGACCCAAACTCGATGAGTCTTGACCCGATCAAATTTTATCAGGTCTGATTTTTATTTTAAAAAATCATATTTAAGTTCGGGTCGGGTTCGAGTTTAGGGTGAAAATATTCGACCCGACTCAAAAAAAATATAATTTTATCTTTTGTGTATAGGGATAATTGTAATAAGACCCCTATATATATATATTAATTTTTCAATTAAATCCCGTTTTTTATTGAATAAAAGTAATATTTTTTATAAATATATTATTTCAGGTTGAGTTCGTGTTACATCTCAAAAGGGTTAGTCGGGTTCGGATTCGAGTAGGATGGAAGGTGTATAATTTTCGGGCCACTTTTGGATCGGACGGTGGGTGTATAATTTTTGGGTCAGATCGGGTTGACCGGAAACCCAACCCAGCCCGACCCATACCCATCTCTAATTGTGCGTTGCTTGTTGTTGGGCTGATGTTTGTCCTTTTTCTTTTGTTGTTGTTGTCCAATTCAATGTTTTGGGCTCTAGTAAAGCTGTCGGTGAATGATGGTCGCTCGAAACAAGCCAAGCAATTAAAATTGGTTTTTCCATTCCACAGCATCCTATTCATACACCAAATCTGCTGCTTTGACAAAAGCAAACAAATAAATAAAGACCAACAGCATTCATCTTAATTTACCTCTAATTATAATTAAACTTTCAATTGACCATACTTTGTTTAGTTTTAATTCACATAATTTTATTTAAAATTTCAGTTTTGATGTAATTAACCTCCATAAATATTTGCTTAATTGAAGAGGTAGAGTAGAGTCAGCTCGCCGTATCGAGTATTCTCCGATTCAATTATGTTTCGGACAAGGACAATTGTTTGTTTGAAGGGAACAATAAATGGACTAGAAATCATCATCAGCTGCAAAGTCTGAATTTACTAAGAAATTTAGAGGACAGATTGTCAATGCAATAAAGGAAATGTCACAATTCATTTATGGTATATTATTTTAAGATAACAATAATAAAATAATCACAAAATAAATTAACTAAGAAATTTAGAGGACAAATTATCAAGACTAAGAAATAAAACGCAATCGGTGTTGTGTTTCAGCAATTCTTCCTCTATTTTTTCTTTATAAATAAAAAGCTGAAAGATAGAGAGTGTATGTGAGCGAAAGAGACAGAGAGGTGAAGGCGATGTTTGGGATTTCATTATATTTGATCATCTGTTGGAAAATCTTTAACCACAAGGATTAAACGAAGAAATTATTATATGCCATTTATACAAAACAATTTCAGCTTTGTTGGTGACTTTCAACAATGATACTTGGTTCATCTTAGTAGTATTTGTCAACTCTGTATTTTCAACCCCATTTTTTTTTCTCACAAGCATTTCATTGAACATCTATGCTTTACCTGAGATGACCTGTATCTAACATTACACCTTGAATCGTTGATGGTTCCGATAGTCCCTTGGTCGGGTCTTCACTCAATGGACCCTTATTCAAGTCAACACCTCCACAGAATTCAAAGTTAGATTATAATTTCCCACGCATCCCCGACTGAAAAGTTGTTCTAGAAATGAGAAGAGAGAAGCGAAAAAATAAATTTGAGATTAAAGAGGAATTTGAGGTTTAGAATGAAATTGAATATTATGTTGCAAGTTTTAAAAGTTGGGGGACCTAAATGCAAGCACCTAAAAAGTTCAGTGACCATATTGCAAACGGACTAAATGTTGGAGGATTCTCTCATCATCTTCTTCTAACGGCAGTGTAACAGCGTCAAACGACCGGTTACGTCGGGATCATATTACAAACGGACTAAATGTTAGAAGATTGTATTGCAAGTTTTAAAAATTGAAAGACCCAGAGAAATTCAGTGACCATTGCTATACTTTACCCTTAAAGTATTAGATTCAAATTAGAGAAAACTCTCTCTTCGAATTACTTTGGCAAATAAACTTTAGTTTTTCACCATTTTGGTATTAGATTCAATATTCTATTTACATCATTTCAATTCAAACTATGGGATTCACCCCATGTTTGTTGAATCTCACCACTTTCGGTGTACAAAATTTCCAGAAATGGATGCAGCAAGTGTTGCTGTGAAATTGGGGTCCCTAGTCAAAGAAGCCGCCATTTGTTGAACCAAAATCTGTTGAATCGCCGGTTGATCAACTTGCTGGGTAGGTTTTTTGGTCTCACCATCCGATCCAGCTGGTTTCATCAAGTCCAGGGTTACAGCGGGGGCAAAAGAAGAAGAAACAGGAGCTGAACGAGGGTTGTTATTGGCGGCGGCGGCACCACTATTAGCGGGGCTTAACGATGATAATGCAGCCGGAGAATGGTGTGTATGGTTGTGCTCTCCTTCATAAGTTGCAACCAAGATGGATGGATCTTCAGCACTTCTTTGCACCTTTTTCTTCACCGGACAAGTCGGGGCAAAGGAGCACTTGAAGTAAGCCCTGGGGGAAGGGTTATCTCTTGTGACCTTTTGACCATATTTCCTCCATTGATATCCATCTCTCACAATCTGTAACACAGACCACTTTTTCAGACTCTCGACGCCTAATTAATTAATTTGATCTGGCGACAAAATTGGGACTTACCAGGCTGTTATCAGAAGGATCTGTGCGCACGCAGGCTCTTGAAATTTTGGCATGAATGCACTCTTTGGGTTTTCTGAATGAGTTTTCATCACTACAGCTGCTGTCGGCGTTGGCAGTGAAGCCAATCATGGCGGTACTGTAATCTTCACAGTCGGCTTTCCTCTTCTTTGAAGATTCAGTTTCAATGTTCTTACTCACCAGTTCCTTGTATTGTTTTTGCAAAATCGTGTAGTGCTCGCATAAAGCCGTTAGCATCTCGGTTAGCCTCTTGTTCTCGGCGCTAACCCGGTTCAATTCCTCAACCAAAATCCCAGTCTGCTACGATTAAAAACAAAGATCGGTATCGAAACATCCAATTTTAAGTTTTCAAAGCCGATCAAACTTATCCAGAAACTGACCTCTTGTTTGACTGGGGATTTCCCATCAAATTCGGCCATTTTCCCATCAGCTTCTCTCTTCTGTTTCAAGAAATTCAAAAGCTTTTATAAGCCCACTAATCCAAAGCAACAAAAAAATCAAATGTTTTTCTCCTCAAGTGATGATAACCCGAACTCACCGGAGCTTTGTTGGTATGAGAAAAGGGGTTAATGCTGAGATCCAGCGTCGTATTCACCCAAGCGGATTCCATCAATATACAGCAAGAGGAGTGAGTGTGGAGGATTTGGGAAGATAATGAGAGAGTAATACCGAGAGGCCAGGAATATAGAAATATATAGAGCATAAAATTTAAAAGGATTTGGTTTATTATCCAGGAAAGTAGGTGGAAATGAGGCGACATCCCACTTGGAAATAACCCATTGGCTTCGGCAAGCCGTCTATATTCATATAAACAAATACTCAAATAAAAAAATATAAATTATAAAAATAATATGGTAAAAATTCATCGTAGGCCCCTATACTTGAGATATGACATCAATTTAAACAAAATTTGCTCAAGTGCTCTGGAGGAGAAGAATTGTTAGGATTTTAATAAAACAATAAGGCGAAGAGAATAGAAAATTTGCTTTTTGGTCCTTAAAAGTAGAAAGGAGAGAACCGAAAATCAAATTTTGGCCGATGATCTATTTTTTTTTAGGGTGAGCATAAATATATTAATAATATAAATTATATATATATATATATACGATAGAATTTCAAGTGGACACACACATATATTAAAAAAACTTTAAATTTTAAAAAATAAACTCCATAAAATTTCATAGTAAACACGTGTATGCCCTCACACAAGTGTACATCCACCACTGTAATGGAGGCAATAATAGTATTTGGAAGATGTTAGATAATTTTTTATTTTGATATTCTTGGTTTTTTAAATTAGAGTTCAAAAAATTAATTGATGTTTTAGACTTTTAGTTATATTTTATGATCAAATTAAATATTATTTTTTAACGTACTACAATATCAACATATGGATCATTTTGTGATGTATCAATGATATTAATGATTTTAATGTAATTATTAAAACCTTAGTGATTATTGATGTAATTTGGGTATAATTTTATTTGATGGAGATTTTAAACGCACGGTGACTAAAAGAAGCTTGGTCATGTTGATTATTGACGACATAGGCCAGCTCATTCATTTCATTTTCCCACTATATAAATAAATACTGATATGACTCCATTTGTCACGTGTCTAACGTGTTCTTTTAGTTCCTAATATTTTAGTGGATAAATTAAAAGTTTACTCTATCTCCTATTTTATTCTTCCTACTTTTAATTTTATTAATTTGCTCCCTGAATTTTATAGATTCAATTATTTTACTCACTCCTTTGTTATCTTTTTAATATTGTGATGATGTGTTATTTATTATTATTATTTAATATAAAATAATTATAAATATCAAGGGTAAATTACGCCGCTCCTCGTTAAACATTACTTTCTTTCCTATTTTGCTCACCCAACTATAAAATAAAAACAGAAAGTGGTCGGATGCCACTGTCATAGTTGATGTTCGTTCGGTCCCAATTTTCATAGGTCGTTTCGCCTCGACACTTTTAGTCTGAATCTGACCTCCATTTTGTAGAAACTTACTCCGAAGTCCATGAATTGGAGATTGAAAGTGATGAAACTGAAACGTTTTGGTTGAGATACACATAACATTTTCCGATGAAACAAACCACCTGATTCGGACTTAGGGGTTGAGATTAAACAGGCACATGAATTTTGAGATCGAGCGACCACCATCAACTAGGTGTGTTAAAAAATACCCGACCTGTTGATCCAGCCTATTGACCTGAACCTAAAAAACCGGGTACTTTTTAAAAAAATTACCTGACCCTAATATTTTTTGGGTAGTTGGGCTGGGTCTAGGCCAAAATTTTTTATAACCGGATAGTCGACCTAACTCGATAGTTAATATATATATATATATATAGTTTATATTATATTTTTATTTTAGGTTTTTAATATTTTTACCTTGAAATTAAATTTATATCACTAAATTTTTCTTAAATTTGTATTATATACTTTTAAGTTTTCATTAATTTGTCAATATGAGATTTGAAAAAAATACGATTGATGTTGATATTTTTAATGTTGTTTTGGAAATAAAATTTAATATATATATATATACACACAAAATATTATTTATCTTTAAAATTAACTTCAAATCACTAAATTTTGTGTACATTGTTTATTATGAACTTTTAAATTTTTATGTATTTCCTATATGATTTTTTAAAATAAATTAAAAAATATAAAGAAATATATGAACCGGGTACCCGTTACCCAAAAATGCAGGTACCCTGATATTACAGGTACCCAAACTTAATGGGTCGGGTCACGGATCGACAAATATACTACTTGGAGAACCGGGTACCCAAAAATGCGGGTACTTGATTTTGGACACTCCTACCATCAACGATGATAGACGATGGTCAGAATGAAAAATGATGTGGTGACCGGTGGCGGCAATTGGTCACCTTATTTGCAAAGTAGAGAGAGAATGAGGGGGAAGAAGATGATTCGAAATGACATCATTTTGGTGCTTATGCCATGTCATAACACCGTTAAAAGGTTAACGGCAGAGTGAGCAAAATAATTCAATATGTAAAGTTCAGTGAGCAAGTTAGAAAAAATTAAAAAGTACAATGAATGAAATAAGCGAGAGAGTAAATATCAAGTGAGAAACGGTATAATTTACCCTATTTTAATTTATAATTATTAAATATATATAACTGTATAGTAACGTAAATGAAAACCCTTGAGAATATCCAGTAGATAAATTAAGAGATGTGTGGGAATTGATAAAAAAAAAGATAGAATTTTATTAAGCTTACAATTTCTGGGTCTTGGTCTCATTGACTACCGAAAAGGCCAACTAATCGCCGGCACGGTTTGAAAACGTTGCGCTACTTAATGATCTACCATTTCTTTTGCAGTCTTTCTCTAAGACCAAACCCTTAATTCCCAGGTCAAATGCTTAACGTTAAACAAGGGTTGGGTTGGATTTGCATTATTCCAACACATGATTTAGTTAAACACTGGTATTACGTAGAAAAACATGAGCGTACACTTCATTTTTGACCACAATTAGTTCCAAAACATCACTTAGTCAATCCACAGTCTTAACCAATACGTGAACATTGAACCTGGAATTCCAGTAACCCTAAATTCAAAGGAAGATGTCGGCAATGCCATACGTCAAGTTTAAAAGATGGGGAAATTTGGTAGAATGTGAACAAGTGGGTCCATTAGGCGGCTGGACAAATGAGAGAACAGATAGAAAGTGCCACAACTCCCCAATGTGTGGTCAAAGTTTGATCAGCGTCGATACAATTATACCAAGTTGCGTGTAGGAATATAACATTGATCGTCACTCATTCATTGTTTCCTTGATTTGTCTATCAAAGGTTGGTACGAAAATAAATGACAAAACCTGCCTCCTCTCATTCAACTATTTGCATGTCATTGATTAATTGCATTTTCCTTTGAAAAAACTGGGTTCTTCCTGCTTAATTCTGGGGATTATTTAATTTGATTCGGTTAAGATTATCAAAGTTTCTTTTAAGACTAATCTCAATCGAACTCAACTGTTATTGCCTCTCCCTTGTCATCTCATCCACTTCTAATGTCCTTTTCCTTGTAAGCTCCACCGAATAATTTGTTAGGAATAACTGGTTCACATGAGGAAGTAGGAACCTGCAAGTTTCTAACAAGTCAAGCAATAGAATTTGTTTTTTTTTTCTTTCTTTCTATAAAACACATGTCCACAAACTTTAGGTTTGAGGACATAAGTCATCGCCTATATCACTTTTGTTATTAGATCGTTTTCCATTAACCTATTACCCATCATGAAATCAGCAACATGACATGTGATGGCTGACGCACTATAACCTTACGTAAGAAAACACACTTGCTAAACGAAATTCAATTTACAACAACAACAACGTAGTAGTGGGAATCGTTCTTAGTTTTTGTGATATATGGTCATGATGATGATGTGATTTACAACTTCCAGTTCCCACTCTTTATGTTTTCTTTTTCTTTTGTTGTCTTTGAGCATTAAGTCAAATTTGGGTGGTTACTGTCCATTTCTGGAATGCTCTTTTGGACAAAAAAAACTGTAAAGCCAACCCAACCCAGTTTTAAAAAGACAAAGTGGCATCGGTGAGCTCTTTCTTCATTTTGGGCCTATGAAGGTGCTTAATCTATCTTCCTAGTGCCTCTCTGATGTTTCAGGCTTAATTGGGTCTAATTGATTAACCCCTGTGACTTTGGTGGGGGCTCTTAGCTTTAGACCACTTTGAGGTTAAGGTAGGGATGCCAAATTAAACCAACATCCATCCCATTTGATATGATGCTTAAGAAAAACAAAGTTCAAGTTGGGTTGGATCTGAATTTTATAGATGGTTACCCGTGTCAAGTGGTTATTGGCTGTCATACATTTAAACTACTTAATGGTGAGCCAAAAGCCCGAACCAATCCTTGTCCATGCATGTCTTTTCTTAACGCCTTTTGGTCTTAAACCCAACACCTAATCAACTTTGTCCCCTCTTGTTTAGAATCAAGTGAATGCAGGCAGGCTCAACACTCGCCACGATTTCAGGGTTAAGACAATGACTGGGAAGGCAAAAGCTACACTCCATCCATGCAAATCACCCATCATCTGAAACCTACATTCGCGGGCTTTTCAATAATTTTATAATTAACGTGTCAAACACTGATTTATCCATGCCTAACATGACATAACTGTCGGTGCTTCATTGTCAATTCTTATCAAGAATATCCTAGGAAGATCTACCTGAATCTCAAAGAGTCGTATATAAAACAACCATTTGGGGCTTAATCAGTAATCGGGGTACAGGCCTTTAAAATAATACATGGTTGGTATGCATCATGGAGAGCGAAAGTTGTTATAGTTCTCAAGTTCAGCTTATTAGTCACTCTACGGTCGAGGTATTTATCGAGGCCCTATTTTCTTAGAGTTTATGAAATCATTCAATACACGAAGAAGAATCTCTTTTTTGTTATATGTTCACTGGTCACGATTCTTCGCCCAAATTAGAAGGGTGAACTAGTCAAAATGAACTAACCTATCAAATTCCCATCGAGTTAAGAGAATTTTTCATCCAACAATCCACGGGTAGTATCTATATGCAAACTTCAAAACTTGCAAGCCATACATTGATGTACTACTAAGCACAGCGCATATGCATTTACATAAAATCAGTTTCAATCCTATTCTGTACTTAAGGTCAGGCTTTATGAGGCGGGCACATAATTTTTTCACTTTTCACATTCTTCTCCCTCGATTTTAACGTTACAAGTGTTGTTTAAGTTGTCGCCTTGCCATGTCCAAACAATGTCTTTTAATGCAGGCCTCACATTTTCCTGGCAAAACTTTACATACTCCAAGGTGTCCCCTGAAGACTTGGAGAACTCCACGATTGCAACCTCCGGTGCCACCTCAGACACCTCCGCCGTCACCAGGAGCTTCCCCTTCCACCCCTCCGATGAACCCTGTAATTTCATCTTGAAGTCCTTGACTTTTCCCACCCTAAAGTTCAAACCTTTTGCAGCAGCTTCGATCTTAGCCATGATTGCAGAAGCCGAACATCTTGAAGTGAACATCATCCCCGATTTCCTCTTGTTTTCGAACAAGCTTGATAAATCAAACCCCGACGACATGGAGGAAATGAACTGGAATGCGTTGAAGAATTTCGGAGACGATAGCTTGTTGGACTTAGAAGCAGAAGAATCATCATCTTCTGTACCGCTGATATCTGATATTGATTCTTCGATTGAAAACGCGAGGGGGCGTGTAAATCTTTTTCGGAACCAAGGGACACGCATTATAGCTGGAATTGTGATCCTTCTTTCGGGGTCAGCCGTGAGTAATTTAGAGATCAACCGCTTCGATTCCGTCGAAAACCATGGCGGAAACTCGAATTCAGCCTTGAAAATTTTCCTGTACATCTTCATGATATTCTCATCTTGAAATGGCAATAAACCTGCGAGAAGAACATACAGGATAACCCCACAAGACCAGATATCTGCTTTGGATCCATCGTATCCTTTTCTCCTCAAAACCTCAGGGGCAACATACGCCGGAGTCCCACACTGAGTGTGGAGGAGCCCGTCATTGCGAAGCTGCTCCGGCAAGGCCGACAACCCAAAATCGGAAATCTTTAGATCTTCATTCTCGTCCAAAAGGAGATTCTCCGGCTTCAAATCACGGTGGGATACACCTCTGCTGTGACAAAAATCGACGGCGCTTATCAGTTGTTGGAAGTACTTACGAGCGGCGTCTTCTTTGAGTTTGCCTTTGAAAACTTTGGCGAATAGTTCGCCGCCACGGACGTATTCCATAATGAAGAAGATCTTGGTCTTTGTAGCCATGACTTCTTTGAGTTCCACCACGTTCGGATGACGAACGAGGCGCGTAACAGAGATCTCTCTCTTGATCTGCTCCATCATGCCTTCTTTCTTCACCTCGTCTTTGCTGATCACCTTTATCGCCACGCTTTCACCCGATGCTACTTCTTTCCCGTAATAAACCTTAGCGAAAGTGCCCTTCCCAAGCAATCTACCCATCTCGTATTACCCAAACAAAACACGCCTCTCTTCCATGGATTCTTGTTTCTTTTCCCTACGCAATCAAAGCTCTGAACTTTCTCAAGGATCCATTCAAAGCTGCTTCGGGTGGTTGTGTAAAGGTGTGAAATTGAACCCAGGGAAATGATGGATTTTTTCTGAATGATTCCATGGGGACGAAAAGGAGTGGATCAAGAAGAGTGACGAGTGGAAAGGTAGGAAAGGGAAAGAGATGTGACAAAAAGGTTATCAAAAAGACGCCATCGGAGCACCTGGTATTGTCTTTTGAGAGACAAACAGCGCACACGGAATGAATCTCGTATCTCTTCAAAATATTTCAATAATGTTTATATAGTAAGACGCGTACCCAAACAACCTTAACATTAGTTGTGCTTTAACCTAAGACCACTAAAGATAATAATCAACACTTAACTCACTCATGCAATAGACTCTTTACATTTTGATAGATCAGGAATTGGGTTGTTGCATTTAGTAAGGTAATAGCACTATTGGTTCTTAAATCGGTTCGTTGTTTGCATTGGACCTAGACAAATTAAATCGGAAATAAATAATTATGAATTCTTTAGTTTACGAACCGAATTAAATGGAACAAAAAGTGTAAATAAGCATAAACAAAGTGATTTTGCTATAAAAAAATATTATTTTTTAAAGTTTCGAATTCGAATACTATAAATATCATTAGTGTAAATATTTAACGTCAAATGATTAATATTTGTCTTTGAATATATATTGTATGGATCCAAGCTACCTAGGTCATACATCCACCCCATGTCCAAAAAAAAGGATAAATTACTTATTGAGTCACTTATTAATTATTTACTTTATATTTTGGTCATATAACTATTATTTATTTTAAATCAGATTTAATTTATGTTTCGGTTATGTTTTAGTCACATATCTTTAAAAATTTAGCAATGATGTTGACGTGTCATCATAAGACAATGGCATATAATGCTTGAAAAATTATTAAAAAATTGTCATGCTAACATCGTTAAATTTTTTAATTGCAAGTGATCAAAATAGAATCAAACTATAAGGTCAGCTATGATTTTGAAAAAATAATAGTTGAGCGACGAAAACATAAATTAAGTAATAGACGAATGACCAAATAGTTAGTTCACCCTAAATAAATAACATGTATGAATTATATTAGAAAATTATTTTAATTTTTTCTAGATTTAATCCATATATATATATATATATAATTGTGAGCATCTGGTCAAAGGTCCCTCCCTCCCTCGTTTAATTTTTGAACATTATTCAGTCTTATTTGGACTGTTTTCAGTAGACATTTATAGGCCACAACAAATTGTTATGGGGTACAGACAATACATTTGTTGTTTGTATTTGAACGTGTCAAATATAAATGACAATTTTAATAAATAATAAAGAGATTCTTGCAACTTGTTATAAAATTATTGTGCCTCAGTATTTTGCTGACCCTATTCACATATATAATGGGATAAGAGGGAGGTAGGATAGTAGGCTGCCCCCAACGCTAGGTTAAGAGCAGCTTCCGTGAGAGACCTCTGGCAGTTAGAATTATGATTTGCCCACCGTATGACTCGATCCCACGACCACAAGGTTAAGAGTCTCCGTATAAAAAAAAATTAGCTGACCCTTATTCCCATATGTAATGGGGTAAGGGGAGGTAAGATAGTACACTGCCTCCAACGTCAGGTTGAGAGTAACTTTCGTGAGAGACCTCCAAATTATAAAATACCCTCCGAGGGACTCGATCTCACGACCTCAAGATTAAAAAACTTGTGCTCTATCAACTGAGCTGGATGGTCATTTATATGAAATGTTATATCAAATGTTAATAGAAAATAATAAAGATAAATAATCCTAAGAAATTGGCTGTGAACAAATTCTTTACGAGTATACTTGAAATAACCACACATTAACCTTTAAATTCAAAATAGTTCTAGCATTCGTGAATTAATCAATATAAAACTATATGATATAACTGTTGTTTTAATGATTACATCGCCTTCAAATAGTTTTTTGGGAAAATTACACACTCAATACCTAAATTATCATTTTTGGTCCTTTTAATACCTAAACTTTCAATTTATCCTAATTGATATTAATCTCTTAATTATTTGACAATCACCCGGTTGTAATTGTTAATGCTTAAACCCGTAACCTCTAGAAATAATAACGGTTCTTTTAACCGTTAACATAAGTTAGTTTATGAAAAATTTGTCTGATATTAATTTTAAAGTATATGATTTATTAAATCGTTTGTGTAATAATAAAAAAGAGAACTTACATTTATTGTTACAAACTAAAACAATGTCTTATGGAATTTAATTTTTTTTTCATAAGACAGAGAGAACGTGCAAAATGCAATTCGAAATAGTGTTTTTGTTGGGAACAAACACATAAATCCCCCGTTTTTTCAAAAATTATGTTTTCCCCCCAATTAGAAACTGGCACACTGATTCAATCAACAAAACCGGGGAATGTGACCAAAATGATAATATATAAAATACAAAGAGTCATAGCGCATGCGGCAAGTGATTCTTCACTATAACATGATGGGTCATAATTAAGAAATAAAATGTGGTGGAGACAGATGCAGTTCTTGATCCATTAATTTCTTATTTGTAAGAACAAAAAGATGAAGAAAGAAAGAATAATTTGGTGTGAAACGGTTACATCCAAAACCCAAAAGCACGAATTAAATTATTTCGGTGATTAAAGAAATAATTGTTATTTTTAGAGATCTAAAGTTCGAACATCTACAAATTATTCTTACACGTTTATTGTCAAATGTTGAGTGTCATTAAAACAGATACGACGACTTATAAACACCCTAGATTTAATAATAATGAAAAGAACTCCGGAAGCCATTGAAGTTTTGACCGCGGGTTCCATGCCCATCAGCTCCTAAATATATTGGTCAGCCAGCTGCCAAATGCATGTTTCATCTTGGGAAGAATCCATATCTGTAAAGCAAGCACGAGTAATTGGAGGCTTGAAAAAGACAACTAAATCTTCATCTGATTAGATTAGTGGATTTGACTATTAGGATGATAATTTTCTCATTGTTCGCATATGTCTAATCCATTATTCTCCTTTCAGCATTTGAATGGATATATTCCACTTTTGTAGGCTTTTTACATGACGTTCAAGCTTACTATAAGATTATCAAGTTACTGTTTGCAGAATCAGGCTTTTGTTCTTTAATTTGTCTCATCTGTTTCTTGTTCTGAAAATATCAGTTTAAGGTAGAATGCAAGTTGTTTCAACCAAAAAGAAACATAAGATACGCGGCCAATGCTTCCACAAAGTTACTCGAATGTATTACGTTAATCCATAGAAGCAACCCTTTGGTAAAAGGAAAGAAAGGCTAACCCAATGTAATCCTAATGCCTACATCAATAATAAGAGAGAGAGAGGACAAACCCAACAAAACACTAACTACGCGTAACGCTACGTCAAATACCAATTGCATCCCCCACCACCCGCACGTCTACGACTGGCTGCAAAATACTAAGGTTCAGCCGAATTCCACATTCGACAAGAGCCAAACCTCGGTGCCCCTACTTTTAGCTCATCTTCGTCCCTTTTTTCCAGACTTGGAATCACTTCCATGTGCCTTTGATAAACTTGATGCTTTCCGCTTCGCGCTTCCCACAAGTTTTCCTGAATCTGTTGACTTCTCTTTTGTGCTTTCACTTTCTTTCACCTTTGATGAATCAGATTTTGACTTGACAGTGCCTTTATCATTGGATTTGCCACCACTTCTAGGAGGCTTACCCTTAGAAAGGGGGGAAACGTTTGAGGTTTCCTGCTTGGACTTGGCTGTCTTTAAAGCATCTTGCTTTAACTTTGTGGAAGCTTTTGGTGTGGCACTTCTGTCATCCTTGGATTTTGTAGACTTTGGTGTATCGCCACTGTCCTCATTCTTGGACTTGTTACTTGCTTTAGAAGCGATATCAAATGATTTGCTACCAGTTTTGGGGGTATGATCCTTGGACTTAGCAACACTGTCATTGTCTGATTTGCTCGCACTCTTGGAGCCGTCTTTGGATTTGCCATCCATTTTAGCTTCGTCCTTTGTTTTGCGACCAGACTTCATGGCAGCACCCTTGGATTTCCCAGTCGAAGTTCCTCCGCCGCTGATCATCCAATAATGGGATTTCAGAAACCAAATAAAGAGACATATCAAGGGTTACATTTTAAAGAATCTAGTAACCTTTTTGGTGAAGCATCCGTCTTAGTTTTCTTGCTCAAGAGATCAGGTGTTTTTGCTTTCTTCCTTTGAGGCCTAATAATGGAAAACGATCAAAGGGGAAATGAAGATTAGCCCAGACCAATACTGAGACAGTATGAACCAAATGCCCAAGAAATCAACAGGCAAATACAAAACCATACCAAATGCACCTAAAACTGAAGTAAACTCCACCATTCAGATAAAATTAACATCGCTACAGAATGGAAAAAGAATCAACTTGAACTACAGAAACCAACGGAGCAAAAGTTTCATTGCAAAATGCCAAAATACACAAACTTTCTAGAACCAAGACGGTGTTGCAATCAAATTTAACATTCAAGAATCATAATAGGAATCACCTACATGTCAGATGAACCATCAGGACTTGGATGATTATCTACGCCTTCCTGTTTCAGTGAGGTATATTAGCAACCTAGAACGTTAACAAATAAAATTTAATTACCTATAAATTAAATTGCTCGCCTCATCTGACCCAGACTCATCTTCAATCACCACCCACTTTTCTCTCTTAAGATTTAAAATTTCTTGATCACCATCAATATAGTTCACCTAAAAACAAATGAAAAAAGAATAAAGAATAAATTTAAACACTAGCAATAACGGTCAGAGGGAAAAACTCAGGTCATATAGTAAGGAAAATCATTAAAGGAAACTTCTATTTATTTGAAGCGTCACCTTGTGCTTCTTTTTCGAGGGATCAAATGAATGAATAAAACCTACATAGAACCTACAAAACAATAACATCAATAGAGTAAGAAAATTGAGCCATAATTCAGCTCTAGCATAAGAAATTCTCCAATATGTGTTTTACAAATGTGATTTTAAGAAAGAATTGAAAGGTAAATTAACCATCAGGGAAAAAGTTCCAGACAAGTCACAAATAAAGAACCATGGAGCACCAAAAACATCATGCAAAATAATTAATTTATTCTGTTTTGCGTCTCCTATCACAAACTTCAAGGAGACAAGATTAAAAAGGTGGAATAGTTGGCATCAGATATTGGTTTTGTATTATCCTTGTTCTTCCATTTTTTTCTAGGTGTTACATTTCAAGAGTTAATATAAGACTCAAGAGTATGAGAACAAGGTAAAAAAGGCTCAAGAGTTGATAATGAGGTTCAAGGCTAGAAAGAAATTTTAATTCACTGAGCTTAGAAGTTGAGGCTAACTATAATGCAGAAAGTTGAGTTACAGAGTAGGGACCACCTATACAGTGGTGAGCCAGAAAAATTAGATTGGTGTCAGAATTTAGAAAAGTAATGCATAATATTATTTTTCATGTTTTTTAACATAAAAATTATAAAAGATTTTTTCAAAAAAAAATTGGGATGTCAGTTCGTGACATGGCTCCACCCGCGCACATATATAAAGCACATTCACCCATTAGATACTTGCTCACACAAGCATACACATCAAAGACTAGATAGGAACAAATAAAATTCATGATTTCTATTTCGGAGTATCATTTCTGCAACAATTATATAATATATATATATACACTTACTCACGGTCTGCGGGCCACCAGACCTTCACCTTCAAGCCGACAAGATTCTCACCATACTCCATAGAATCAGAAGCCTGAAAAAGAATCAGCATAGAAATGAAATCAATTGTCTAAAGTGGAATGATATGTAATATCATTGCTTCAACTATGTTCAGATTGCAGCATTCAAGAACAGAGTTGAATAAAGGTTTACTGCTACCAATGGTTGTGCAGCAGAGCATGGATTTGGTGGTGTTTCTAGGAATGAGTAATGACATCATTGCAGGATTATTGTTTCCAAGGAAACACAAGATTGGAATCTCGCAGAAAAATCAAACTAATGTTAAATGGCTCTTGAAAGATGAAGGACCTCAGGTGGTTAAATGCAGCAAGAGTTCAGAAGAAGCAATATGGGGATCTCAAGAATATTCATAAAAAAAGCCAACCTAACGATTAAGAAGAAAGCAAGCAAAGAAAAATGGCATCTAAATAGAAAAATGATGATCAAGGATGCAAGAATGGAAGAGAGTTCAAACCCACAAGGATCAACAAAGAACACCTATAACGCTGGTCTATTTTACTCGGACTCAGGTGTGAGTGTTGGGAGGAACTATGTTTATTTTTTCTAAATTTTCCATGTATTTAGACTTTAGAGCCCTTGAAAGAACATATGCCCATATTTATGTCCAGATATGGGTCAGACATGAGTAGCAAACACGGACAAAGAAAGGAAAATGAAGAATCAGAGCACCAATCCATTGATGCTAACCTTACTTAAATGCAACCTACTTAAACCACAATACACCACTACTAAAGTTTGATATTTAAAGATGCAAAAGAAATTACTTTTTCTTTACTTAGGGTATGCTTTCTCTTGGAATTTGCCTTGGGGGTCTCCTCCATGTGAGAATCTTGAGATCCAACCACTTCCTAAATCAATAATAAGCACAAATGATTCCTTGGTTGTAGGATCTAGAACAGCTAAACAAATAAATCATAAAGCTTGAAAAAAACATCACTAGAATAGCAAAATTACAAGTCAAAAGCCAAAAGGAAAATACCTCTTCATCGTTCTCGGTGGAGGTTTTCGCTCTATCCTTCTCAGGAACAACTTTTCCCCGAGCTCGCCTTTTACTATCTGTCAGCTGCCTTGAAATGGATTCATCTGCGTTGTTACCGCTAGAATCGACTTTCTTTGATGACTTCAGTGATTTTACCTCTGAATCACTTCCTATGTCACCTTCTTTCATTGTTTCATCTGCATTGTTACTGCTAGAATCTACCTTCTTCGATGACTTCTTCAGTGATTTTGCCTCTGAATCATTTGCAGTGTCATTTTCTTTCTTAGTTTCATCTACACCATCTGGAGCATTATCCTCATTGGAAACAACAGTAGAAACTTTTTTCCTTGCTCGTCTATTTGTTTTTTTTTCTGAATCACTAGTCGCTTCATATGCCTTCTTAGAGACACCATCAACAGAGGAGGTGGTTTCCTTTCTCACACTCTCTTTTCTTTTAGACCTTGGGGCCCTTGTGGAATGCGAAACATCAGTTGATTCGTCCTCAGTTGCTTTTTGAGAGGAATGTGGAACATCAGTCGATTCTTCCTCAGTTGCTTTTTGAGAGGAATGTGGAACATCAGTCGATTCTTCCTCAGTTGCTTTTTGAGAGGAATGCAGAACATCAGTCGATTCTTCCTCAGTTGCTTTTTGAGAGGAATGCAGAACATCGGTCAATTCTTCCTCAGTTGCTTTTTGAGAGGAATGCGGAACATCAGCCGATTCTTCCTCAGCTGCTTTTTGAGAGGAATGCGGAACATCTGTTTCTCTTCTATTCTCAGAGGATACAACCCCATCAACAGATAGAACCTCACGAGCTGAACCAGCATCATCCTTGCTGTCTTTTTTATGATCTTTTAAGGTCTCAACTGCCTTCTCATCAACATGAGAGCTGTCAGAAAGTTCATTTAATTTGAAATCAGATTCCTTCTTCTTTTCCTGGGTACTTTGCTCTAACTTAGTATCTGAATTGACAACTTCCTCAGCTTTTGATATATCGGTTTCGGCAACAGTTGATTTATCATTTTTGGACTCATCAGCAATATGGTTGCCCTCTTTCATCTTTATAGAATTTAAATCAGCCAATGAGTCCTCTTCAGCGGTTCGCATAATGCCATTACAAACAACTGTATTGGGAGATTTTCCATTTGCAAGATCCACTTGTTCAGTTTTAACTGCCTCTTCAGGAATCTGTTTATCCTCCTGAGAATTTGAAGATTTATTATAAACGAAAATTTTCATAAAAAAATCCAATGAGTACAATAAAACAAAAGGAAAACATTGAATCTACACCGACAGAAAAAACTGGCAATTGACAATAAATTCATGAAGGAAAAAAAAAAGCATACCTGGGCTGCCTTCTCTGAAGGTGCCTCCACTAGTATGCTCTCATCATCCTGCAGCAAATCAACCCAAAAAAGGAATATTTAGGAGACTATATCAGCTCTATGTTCACCAAAAACATAAAAGACATCACTAAGGTGTCAGCATAAGGAAAAAATTAAAAGACAAAAAAAAAGACCAAGACCAAGACAGCGTGAACAAACAAAATACATAGAAAGCATTGACACTTGTATGATTGAGTAAAGCATAGAATCTATCTGCAAATAATGCTAAGCAGAATAT